ACCTTTTGCTAGACCAATTCTTTATTGGCCACGTGTGATTGGACACACAAGGAATTTGTCTTGGGGCAAATACTCTCAGTATACATAAAAGAAAAGATACATTCGTCAAGAGTCAAGAATCATAAGGTACTCGAATACAGCTCATCAGTCTGGAATCCACACTGTATATCGTACATTAATAAAATTAATACAATTGAGCGAGTCCAGAAGTATTTCACAAGAAGAGTATTACACTCCTCTGCTCGCAACAGAATGCCCTACATCACCAGGCTTGAGATTTTGAGCTTGGACAACCTTGAATTACGCCGCCGATGGTTAGACTTAAGCGTAGCACACAAAATTATCTGCTACAATGTCCTATTAGTCAGTGACTATTTCAGCTTCAACCACAACAATACAAGAGCACACAACAGATACAAACTCAATGTAAACCTCCCCAAACTTGATTACAGAAAGTACAACTTCAGCAACAGAGTGGTCAATGCCTGGAATGCACTACCTGACTCTGTTGTTACATTCTCTAACCCCCACTCCTTTAACCTTAAACTATCCACTATTGACCTCAACCCATTCCTAAGAGGTCTGTAAGAGGTGTGCATAAGTGCACCATCGTGCCTACCGTCCCTGTCCTACTGTCCCCATTTATTTGTACCTATTTCCTGTATTCTTACTCATGTTTATACTTAAGCGATTGACAAATCAAGTAAAATAAAAAATAATAAATAAATAAATATTGTATATCTGTTTCATGCATATCCCTAAAGAACCATAGACACATTTGTGCCATTCAAAGAAAGGAGTTACACGATGCACATCATTCATCTAAAATTTCTGCAAGGAAATGAAGTCAGCAACCATAACCACAACTGGCTGTGTTGAAATTAATAGGTTACGCCTCTGAGGCTTCTTTCCCAGAATTAATGCTTTTTCCACACAAAAATAGAGATAAAAATAGCAAATCGAAGAACAACCATTTTAAAAGAAAAAAAATGCTCATTTTTACACTTGTAAAATGCTTATGCCAAGCCAGAGGTTCTCCAACGACCATCCTTGTTAATGTTCTTTATTTAAAGTTATCGTTCTTTATTTAAAACATAATATAATATTTGTCCATAAGATGGCAATATTTGCCTGTCTTATAACTGACTTTTCCAGCAGCCATGATGGCTTGAGTAGCAAGGAAAATCTAGCACATTCCACATATTCTGGGGGTAGTAAAATGCATTGTAACCCACAGCTGCTTTGGATGAGATGAAGTAAAACTAAACCTCAACTCCAACCCTCCACTGTATCCCCAGGTAAAGTCAAAAAAGTAAAGAAAGTCAAGATTGAAGCTTGATGACTTCAAGCTTGGGTCACAACATTCATTATATTTTTTTGACTGTTCCTTCCATGGATGCCTCTGCCCCAAACCAGACCAGAACCAAATCAAAATCAATATTAAATCTTTGGAGGAAGACAATTCTGATGAATTCAGAAAGGGCTACCAATGAACAAGCAGGCCAGGGTTGCAATTTAAGAAGAAAACATCCAAACCATATTTCCCAATACAGAGGACTTGATAATAGGGAATAATCCCTATTCATGATTTTATTTATTTTATTTTGTCAAGCGATTATTAGATAGCAGGTATAAGTATAGACATGGTTATGAAATGAAATGAAATGGATACGAATAAGAAAAGAAAGAAAGAAACAATAGGACAGGGACCGGTAGGCACGTTGATGTGCTTATGCACGGCCCCCAGCTAGCCAGTTTGGTCTGTCTAGTGGTTAAGAAAGCAAGAAACTGTGAGTTCAAATCTTGGCCGAGCTATGAAGGACACCTGGGTGATATTGGGCCAGTCAATCTCTCTCAGCCCAATCTATCTCACATCTATCTTGTTGTGGAGGCAAACGGGTGGGACTTGGAATAACGGAAAAATGGAGTGCCACCTGGAAAAATTAAGAGGATTAACAGTGAAACTTTGAAAAGACTCCAGAGAATACGTTGTAACTGAAATCTTATTAAAAGGTACAGTAAATCCACGGAAAGGAAAAGTAAAGGAAAGAAACAAGAAGGAACAGTCTGGGATCGTTTGGTGGTTTAAAAAAAAAGGTTTTTGGCATTGGGTTTTTTTGTTTTCTTTTTCTGTTTTTACTTAAAGTCAATTGGGTGGTGGTTCGAAAGTGTTTTTAAAATGGCATCACTGCTGGAGGAATTGAAGATGAGTCTTAAAAAACAGAAAGAAGATGCAGAAAGGGGAGGAAGATCCTTTGGCTTTGTATTTGAATTTTTTGAAATGGAGACCCTGAACTATGAAAAGCAAAAGGAAAAGCTCCAAGAGCAAGAAGAAGGGCAGGACAAAGAAGAAGCCATTTTCAATGATCAAATAATGCGAAGGGTGGTAATAAGGAGAAAAAGGGGGAAAGGAGTTAAAAGTTTGAGATCAAAGGGAACAGTCAAAAAGAAAAATAGTCTGAAAAAGAAGTATATAACAGCAAGGAGAAGCAGAAAAGAAAATTACAGAAGGGAAAATTAGAGAGAGAAGGGTATAAAAAAGGGATTAGAAAAAGGGGGGAAAGATAGAAAGGGAAAGAACTTATGAGGGACAAAAGCAGGAAATGAAGAAAAAGGGGAAACGTACTAGGATTAAAGGTATTTGCTCAGCTAGAAAACACAGACAATGGCTAAATTAAGTTAAAAGTGAGGATTCTGCAAAGGTACAAAAGATAGTGTTGTGACAGTAGAATACTGTAATGAGTTAGAAATTAAATAAGCAAATAATCTATGAGATAAAACTGTTTTGTTATGTAATGGTATGTTTATTTATAATTAATGCAATAATAAAGGGAGGGAAACATTGTAATTGTTTCTAAAGACTGATAAAATATTGTGAAAGATTTATAAGGACATTTATACCAGTTACTAGAATGAATTTGAATAATTATTTTGCTTAAAATAGTAAATAATTTATAAGATAAAACTGTATGACTACCCAATGGTATGCTTATTAACAATTAATGTAATAATGAAGAAGGGAGGGAAACATTTCAATTGTTCTCAAAGATTGATAAATATTGAAAAGAAAGATTTACAAGGCTCATACCAGTACTAGAATGAATTTGAATAACTATTTTGTTTACTAATGTTTATACATGTATATTGTCTTTGCTATGTTTTTAGAATATTTCTTTTTACATTTTCAAGGAGAAGTACCAAGCAGAGTCTGAATGATGAGATTTACATGATATAAAATAGATACTAGAAATTGTTATAATTTTAGAATGCACAAATTTAATGTTTAATGAGATTTCATATGCTAATAACAATAAGACTTAAAGGTGTTGCACTCCGATTGGCAATCATAGGGGGAATTTTGCTTTTTAAGAATGTTGGAAGAGAACATATGAAATTGTAAACAAGACAGACGAAAGTATAGGTATAATGAATAAAAAGATATAGAAATTTAGGTAAAAGAAATACAATTGAATAAGAAGAAAATGAGATAACCATAAAAGAAAATTAAGAGAAGTAAAGGGAGAAATAGTGAGAAGCTGGAAAAAGAGTAATGAGATATGAAGTTGAATACATAAGATGAATATGCATATGAAATTGTGTCTGTATGGAAATGTGGTAACCCAGAACCATGCTGTACTCAAATAAGATGTTTTATTTGTTTTGTTAAAACTCAATAAAACTTTTTTTTTTTTAAAAAAGAAAGAACTTCCTTATTTTGGAGTAATTTTCTCAGTCGTTCTACAAGGTGAAAGATAATACAATGTGTTACCAATGACCTCATTGCCTGCCATGCTGTGGATGATGGTCATTGACAGCATGCTAGGAGTCTAAGTTACATACTCCACCACCATGTTCCTGAGATAGGATTGGTAGCTACACCTTCATAAGACAATTAAACTTTGGCCATCTTGACTCAAGTTTTCATCTCACCGAAACTTGGAAATTCATGACTTTAAAAAATAGCCATGGGAGAAAACACTATTGTCATGGTAGTGCAGTGATTAGAATGCAGTATAATTCTGCCAATTGCTAGTAGTTCAATTCTCACTGGTTGTCTCAGCCTTCCATCCTTCCAAGGTCAGTAAAATGAGGAGCCAGATCGTTGGGGGCAATAGGCTGACTCTGTAAACAGCTTAGAGAAGGCTGTAAAGCACTGTAAAGCAGTGTACGTCTAAGTGCTATGGTTATTGCTAAATGCTACTGTACATTATTTATATCATTTCTTCTGAATGTGTCTTGAGGGAGTTTTGCAAAAGTATGAGCATCCCCAGCTAGCCCCATTGAAGCCCAAAGAATTAAATGTATGTTGTGACATCACATTGGAAACTCCATTTTTTGTATCTGCCTTTGTATCACACCCAGGTCTGTTGGGGAGGAGGGATTCGTGACATTGCAATGAACCTTTTTTCACTTTCCCCACCCTGGAAGTCTATGTTCAAAAGACCATTCAAAACAAAAGCAACTTGGGAGTCACTTACTACTCCTTGCCTTTTTCTTTGACATCTACATAGATTGTGCTCATCAGAAGTATACCGGGTTATAGTGGGCTTATTCATTCCTCACTATGGTTGGGTTAGTTCAAGATGCTGTGGGAACCAGTGCGTTATTTTAATGTGTCGTATGAAGTAGGACATTTCACTGAAACATAATTCATTTGCATGTGGCAGGCTGCGGAAACCCAGTTGCAATTTTCTTAACCTAGGCTCATCCTTCAGTGTATTTTGGGAACCCCATTGATCTGTCACACGGTGCACAGGAAATGATAATATTGCATACGTGTATCTTCTGCAATTGTCCAAACCTGGACAATTAAGACATATAGACAGCATCTCTCCTTAAGGTAGACCTGTTGGGGAGACCCAATAGTGACTGTAAGGCAAAATCATGGGAGGAAAGATCATACACGCACATGCATGCCCACAGACACAGACACAGACACAGACACACACACACACACAGAGCAATGTTACAACAGGTAGAAGAGGTTGGGATCAGAGAAGGCCAAGTTTTTCAGGACTTTGGACAGCACCCTGTGGGAAAGGCTAGAAGAATCTTGAGCACAAAACAAAAACAAAGACAGTGCCATTGAACTTAGAAGTTGGAATAATAAGAGTTGGAAGGGACCTCGGAGGTCTTCTAGTGTCCAACACACCTGCTCAAGCAGGAGACCCTAAATCATTTCAGACAAATACTTGTCCAGTCTCTTTTTGGAAAGCCTTCAGTGATGGAGCACCCACAACTTCTGAAGGCAAGCTATTCCATTGGTTAATTGCTCTCACCATTAGGAAATGTCTCCTTAGTGCTAGGTCGCTTCTCTCCTTGGTTAGTTTCCATCCTTTGTTTCTTATCTTGCCTATTGATGCTTTGGGAAATAGTTTGACTCCATGGTTACTACCATAGTCTTAATATACCATATCAAAAAGAAAAAAAAGGGGGGGGGATAGTTTTCTTTCCTTAGTAATCAAACAAACAAACAAAAAATTCATTTGGATTTCATCAGAAATCCTGACACATACACACACCCCAAAAGTGTCACTGGTAATGTTAGCCCTTTGAAATAGTCCAGACGAGAAGCATGACAATAAATGCTATAATCTGTAATTTCTAGGAATTACGGTATCTCCTCTTTCTATGTCCAGGAATGAATTACCATGTGTTGACACTGCTTGGAGCAAATAGCAGGATATCTAAGGGGATGTGAGCAAAAATGCAGAATGTCTGCTTTGTTCCTTCGAGGCTAGTTGGGTGATCAGGTAGAAATGTGATTTTCTTCTTCTGCTTCCTCCGGTGCAGCAAAAATGGAAGGAAAGTTGCAACTACAACACACACCGTGGCTTCTTTAATTCTGGAAAACTCTCTTCCCACCAGTGCAATAGTTGATCCTGTAAGACAAACGGATTTCAATGATTTGGCTCCAACCTTCACCCAGGAACATCCTTGTGGGGAAAAAATCCAGGTTTCCTTTGAATCTTCTTCCTCTTTAACCCTCTACAGGGGGAGGAGGAAAAAGAGAGGTGTGCAGATAACATCACACAAATGACACGATTTGCATTCTTGCCTCAGAAATCAGGATGTGACTGTCACAAACTGCCTAGGGCAAGGATGTCAAACACAAGGGCTGGATCTGGCCTGTGATGTGGTCGGATCCAGCCTGTGGGGGCCATCCTGGAATATGTAAGGGGCTGGCCCATGTGGCTTTGGCCTGGTCAACCCAATTCAAAGAGGAAACATTGGGCCAGAGTGGCTTTGATCTGGTCTACTCAATGCGAAGAGGAAGCATGCCAGCAGTTTGGGGAGTGGCTTCAAGCTGGCCATGCCCACCCAGTTGGCCACACCCATCCAGTCAGCCAAGCCCCAATGTCCCCGCCGAGGTCAACCTCAGCCCTGATGCGGCCCTTAATGAAATTGAGTTTGACACATATGGCCTATGGGCTTCTCCGCTAATTGCAGAGAAGATGTCAAGACAGTCCTTCCTGATTCCATTGCAGATTGATTGCCTGAAGGAAATGTCTGAAAAAGGAAACCCTATTTGACAAATGGGCCTCTCGTCACACAGGCAGGGCCCCAATTTTTTTCTTTTGTGCAGTGAATTCATGAATGAAAGTCACAAAGTGCCATTGTCTGAAATTCACATGTCACACTTCCATTGTTCACTTTATGTTGGTTGACAAGGCAGAGAGGGAGACAGAAGGAACATGAGTTTGGTGTAGAGGTGAAGCCATCAGGCTAGGACTTGGTACACTGAGTTTTACTCCCACCTGAAGCACGAAGCCACTTGGGGGGACTTTGGCCAGTCACTCTCTGTCAAACCTAGGAAGAAGGAAATGGCAAATCATTTCCAAAAATGTTGCCAAGAAAATTACAGGAACTAATCCAAGCAGTCATTGGGATGAAAACAGACATTTGAAGGTGAAGGGAGAGAAGAGGAGAGGGGAGGGGAGAGAGGGAGAAGGGAGAGGGGAGGGGAGAGGAGAGAAGACAGATGGGGAGGGGAGAGGAGAGAGAAGAGGTGTGAAGAGAGGAGGGAGGGGAGAGGGGAGGGGAGGAGAGGGGAGGGGAGAGGGAGAGAGAAGAGGAGGGCTCTTTGAACTATTACCATCGAGAAGGAGATTCAGGGTATTAAGAACAAGGATGACTAGATTTAAGAACAGTTTTTATCCAAGTGCAGTTTTGAGTTTGAATGCAGGGTCATAAGATTTTTGTGGAATTTAATGGCTGAGAGTAATGGGGTATTTACATTTTTAAATTGTATAGAGATTATTGTATGGTCTGTTGTGTTTAATTTTATTTTTCTTTCAATGGTGTTGTCCAGTTTTACTTGTGGAAGAGCACCTCATTTCGTTGCACCCGCTTGCGAGTGTAATGACAAATATATTCTTATGTCTTATGTCTTAAGGAAAGGGGAGAGGAGGGGAGGGGAGGGGAGAGGAAATAGGGGAGAGGAGAGGAGAGAGGGGAAGGGAGAAGGAAGAGGGGAGGGGAGAGGAGAGGACGGAAGGGGAGAGGAGAGAGAAGAGATGTGACGAGAGGAGGGGAGGGGAGAGGAGAGGAGAGAATAGGATTTGAGACCATTCTTAAGGCAGACGTTCCCAACCAGATGTCCCTCCTGTTATTTATATTTAGAATGACCTTGTCTTCTTATTTGATAGAAGAGACTTATCTATTTAAAGGTATGCCAAAGGATAAAACTCTGTTTGTGGGCGACCCATGTCTGCATTGATCTCCAGTTGATTTCCCAACGTTATACCAAGGTTGGTTTGTCTTGGTGTTCCTGACTGTGAAAAAGTCTAACCCTACTTTATGCCTAATGCACAAGTCTACACTTCCCTGTTTCTGCTTTGTTTGCAGGGGATTAAAATGTCTCCAAGCCAAGCCACTTTTAGATTGTGTCACTGCACCATCAGAAACTGACAATGTTACCTTACCAGTTCCCGAAACCTGCTTCCAGTTTTCATTTAGTTACATTTTGGAATGCTGATACTGAATTTACACTTCAATATATATATATATATATGCATCTGCCAAAGGCACTGAGGCCACACGAGGAAGTTAGAGATTTTTCCAGATATTCAAAAACTCCATTTTGCCTGCAGTTTTTCCCTTCAATTCCCTTCAATTCCTTTCAATCCAAGAAGCAAAGCAGAGCACGGGGCCCATAATATTCTTGAGGGTCGAGTCTCTATCAATGATCTTTTGATGACAATTGTAAAAAGGGCACATTTTACTTTTATAGATCAGGTCAAATCAAATCAGATCAAACCTTTCTTATTGCCCAAGGACCGAGCATCAAATATTATACAAGTAAGTCCTTGACTTACGATCACAACTGAGCCCAAAATTTCTGTTGCTAAGTGGGACATTTGTTAAGTGAATTTGGCCCCATTTTACAATCCTTCTTTCCATGTTTTGTTAAATGAATCTCTGCCCTGTTGATACATGGTAGCTGTTAAGTGAGTGACACAGTTGTTAAGTGAATCTGCCTTCCCCATTGACTTTGCTCGTCAGAAGGTCGTAAAAAGGGATCCCGTGACCCTGGGACATGGCAAAGGTCATAAATATGAGTCCGTTGCCAAGCTTCTGAATTTTGACCACATGACCATGGGGATACTGCAACAGTCGTAAGTGTGAAAAATGGACATAAGCCACATTTTGCAGTGACGTTGTAACATTGAATGGTCACTAAATGAACTGCTGTAAGTCAAGGACACGAGCATAGCAAGAAAAGAATTTAGTTCAATTTTCAGATGAGAAAAGAGAGATCATATTGCAATACGACTCCAGCAACAGAGTGGTCAATGCCTGGAATACACTACCTGACTCTATGGTTTCTTCCCCAAAGCCCAAAAACTTTAACCTTAGTGTCAGGATTCTGTCAATTACCCCAATGGGAATTAAATTTTTGTACTACCGGTTCTGTGAGCATGGCTTGGTGGGTGTGGCAGGGGAAGGATACTGTAAAATCTCCAGTCAAGGGTGGTATTTGCTGGTTCTCTAAACTACTCAAAATTTCTGCTACTGGTTCTTCAGAACTGGTCAGAACCTGCCGAATACCACCTCTGAAGCAGGGCAATAAAGATTAGGCTAGAAAAACACCAGAATGTTTCCTTCCTGCCTTCCTTATAGGATTAGCCCTATAGAGTGGAAAAAACAAAAGGAGATTTCTTCCTACAACCAGTTCTCCGAACTGCTTAGAAAGTTAACAAGTTCTCACTAATTGGTGCGAACTGGTTGAATTCCACCATTGGTCTCGAGCCAAACTTAGACTGTCTTACTGTTGACCTTACCCCTTTCCTAAGAGGTCTGTAGTGGGCATACATAAGTGCAGCAACGTGCCTACGATCCCAGTCCTAATGTTCCTCTTTATTTGTATCCATTTCATGTATTCATAATCATGTTTATACTTATACCTGTTATCCAACACTTGCTTGACAAATAAAGGAAATAAAATAAATAAAATAAAATAAAATGAAAGCACAGAACTGGGCAACCTGAATAAAAGCATTTGGAAATTCCTTTTGCAGAGCATTGTGTGTTCAAAAGAGTGTTTAACGCAAGGGTGAAGATGTCAAGGAACGTTTGGGCAGGTTTCCTTCGGAGTTTGTTTAGAAACAGAGTATTCTAAAGAAACCTGTTGCAACCTCTTCCACTCTTCGGTGTGATTCAAGGTGTTTATTTTTATGAATCAGGAATACTGTCAGGCACTTACACATGGACATCAATCTTGAATTCCTTTAACAATAGGGGTTGGATCAAATCTGACTCTTCTAAGGATAGTCCTCAACTTACAATGTTTTTTTGGTGACTGTTCAAAGTTTAGAATATTGGTAGAATACCTTTATTGTCATTGCATTTCACGAATACAATGTAATTTGAAAGCTACTCCAGCACAGTGCCCCAAACAACACATCACAATCACACTACAGAGTATTTAAAAATTAAAATAATAATAATAACAACGATAGGACTAAATCACAAATGCACTGTTTGATTCAAGACCATTACTGCCTTGGAAAAGAAACTGTTTCTCAGTCTATTAGTCCTCATTTTAAGACACCTCTAAGCCCTCCCTGATGGTAACAGATCGAAATATGAATGTCCATTTTTTTTCTGTGGAGATTTTTAGTATTCTAGAGGGGAGTCTGGTCTTCGCAATCTCTTCCAAAGAAGAAAGAGAGCAACCGATGGTTTTTTTTATAAACCGATGTGTTTATAACTCTCTGGAGCATCTTCTTATCCACTGCATAGCATCCAGCATACCACTCCGTTACACAGTATACCAAAATGATCTTGATGGTAGAATGGTAAAAAGTAGCCAGCAACTTCTCACCCAGACCGCTCTTTTTCAGCAGCCTCAGAAAGTGCAGGTGCTGTTGGGCCTTCTTTGCAGTGGCCATAGTGTGGACTGACCAAGTAAGGTTGTCGGAAATATGAGTTCCTAGAAATTTAAAACTATGAACTCTTTCCACACAGACTCCATTGATATACTGTATAATGGGAGAGGCTCTGCTTTGCAACTTCTGAATGTTACAACAGCGCTGAAAAAAGTGACTTACAACTGTTTTCCACAATTAAGACCAGTGGTGGGATTCAAATTATTTTTACTACCGGTTCCTTGGGCATGGCTTGGTGGGTGTGGCAGGAGAGAGATAGTGCAAAATCCCCATTCCCTCCCCATCCCACTAACCTGCTTTCCAGCTCCGTTCTCCTGTGCAGGACAACCAAAGAAGACACAGCCAATCAGCTGGGATTCAATGGGAGGCAGAGAAGAGATGGGGGCGGGGCCAGTCAGAGGTGGTATTTGCTGGTTCTCTGAACTACTCAAAATTTCCGCTACCGGTTCTCCAGAACTGGTCGGAACCTGCTGAATACCACCTCTGGTTAAGACCTTTCCAGCATCCCCATGATCCTGTGATGAAAATTCAGATGCTGGGCAACTGGTTCATACTTATGACAGTTGCTGGGTTGCCAAGGTCACATGATTCCTTTTCGCGACTTTCCAACAAGCAAAGCTAGTGTGGAAAGCAGATTCACTTAACAACCGGGTGACTAGCTTATCAATTGCAATGATTCACTTAACAACCGAGGCAAGAAAGATCGTAAAATGGGGTAAAATTCACTTGACAAATATATCACTTTAACAACAGAAATTTTGGGGTCAATTCTGCTCGTACATTGAGGACTGCCTGTGTAATCCATTGAAAGTCAAACTGAAGCCCAAAGTTGCTTGATAGTGAGTTGGGTGGCATATAAATTTAATAAATAAATAACATTTTAAAATAGAGTAATAAATTAATCTCCTTTTGTCGCCATTGGATAGAAGTCTTTCGTCACCTGCTCCCACAGTCAGGGGATACCTTCCACATCTGATGCAGCCCCTCACCCTATTTCTAGGAACCCCAAATACACAATTAACCAGCGTATTTTTTAATTCACCAATCTTAATAAACTAAAGCAATTTTCCTCTTCCAATGCAGGCTGTCCTTCACCTACGCAATGAGGGCCAGAATTTCTGTTGCTAAGTTGTAAAGTGAGTCCCTTTTTTGCCACAGTTGTTAAGCCAATCGCTGCCATTGTTAAGTGGATCAGGAAGTCATTAATCTGGCTTCCCCTGATGACTTTGCTAGTGGGAATTTGGCTGGGAAGGTCACAAATAGGAATCATGTAACTTCAGGATACTGCAACCATTGTAAATATACGCCGGTTCCCAGCACCCAAATTTTGATCATCTGACTGGAGACGTTGCAATGCGAGGATCGGTCATAAGTCAATGCCATAAATTGAGGACTACCTGTGTATTGGGGCTTCAGTTAGTACCCTCCCAATCAGCATGGGTTATGTTGTTTAGGAATGCTGGATTTTGAAATCCCAGCACATGCAGAGGGCGTTCAAAAAGGCTGAATTATGTGCAAATTATGTGGTTATTTTTCCCCCCTTGCACAAACAGCAAACAGGTTTTTGGCACCTTAAGGACTAGCAGATTTATGACCACTTAATAGAGAATCCCAAAGTGATGCTGACTAATTAGCCCTAATAGCTACCCTCTTTATTACTTTTAATGCGCAGCTATGCATACACCCACTGTGATTCACCTCACTCCGAGCAAATGCCTTTGAGAGGAGTTCACACAAACATGCAATTTAAGATTGCCCCTTTTTACCCAGAATGGATGTTGCAAGCCCAAGATACCCACACTAGAACAAACAACACATGGCAGTCTCCTCTAGGATGCTGCCTTTGCAGGATAAATATTCAAGTTTGGTCTGTTGTGCATCACAAAAGTAAAGTCAAGAAAAATGAAAGTATGGTTAGGGAGCATCTTGGATCAGCGTTAAGGGCTAGTGAGTCCAGAGAAAACAGCGTATGCATATATACATAATATGCTTTGCATGCATGTATATTGATAATTTACACATATAATTCCTACTACAGTATCCAATCCTTAGCAAATATTGGATGTAAGAATGTGTATTAAAGTTCTTATTTCCTCCTTTCCTGCAATACTTTTATAGATGCTATATTTGCCCATCATTGAGGCTCTTTTCTTCATAATGTTATTTGTCTACCCATAATCAGCAGTTCAATTCAGCCGGATAATAGAAGAAAGAAATTGTTCTCCAAAGCAGCAAAAAACCAGGAAGAGTCTGGCAATACCTTTTCCACCTAACCAATTGTACTAAATGGCCTCCACCAGATTTAAAGTAAATTTTAAAAGAGGAAAGGGAAGGGAAAGAATAAAATGTGCAAGGAAAAGAAAGGAGAAAAAAGGGAAAAGTAAGAATATAATAAAGAGAAAGAAATATATAAAATGTGACTTCTAATCTTCATTATAAATGTAAACAAATTTAGTGACTCTTCACTCCCTCTAAGATTGCAAACATTTATCTCTTCATCCCATATACCATTTCTTATTTGTAGACAAATCTATAAAATCTCATCTTTTCAGTCCTGCTATCAGCAGAAAGTCCATAAAGGGTTGCCAGAAGTAACAATATATCTTGTTTTAATCTTGATCAAATAAACCAATTTTATATTCTTTTCTTCTCCTTCTAACTTAATCTTTAGTTAATTCAAATATTGGTATAGGATTCTATTTTATTTCTTCTTTGTTTCATTGCACAGAGTTATTCAAGGCTTTAATAAGCCTCTTTTGTAAATTCACCAGGAAAAGTTAACCAGGTAACTTTCTTGCTTTGTCATTTATATTTTTAAAACCTCAGCCAATTTCTTTTGTAGATCCAGTGAAACATCCTTTTACCAAGTCATTCTCTTGGTCTCTCAGTTGTAAATCCACTTTCAATACTATCTCTTATCTTGTTAGATTGGTTTACATCTTTCATTTTGTCAATAACATCTTTTGGGAATAGTCTTTCATAGAAGCAAACATATTTATTTCCATTGTTGATATAGTGGCTACTAATTTCTGACTGCATTCTTACAAACTCTCATTCAGAATTTTCATTGTTATAATTCTTTGCATCATTCTGAAAGTTTGTATTTATTTTTCCTCTATTTAAAATCTTTGGTACTTTTAGTTTGTAATTTCATTGTGCATGCTCACATTTCTTTCTTAATTGCACTTTAATAATTTTTAATCTAGCTCTCTGATTGCTAACACATTTTAGCATTGTTTTAAAGTTACTCTGGTTTCTCATATTTTGCCAAGATTAAGTTTATTTGCATTTGCCATTTTTGTTGTGATTGATTTTTACAGGTACAGATAAATCTCCCAGTTTTTTTGTTCTTTAACCTCTTTAACAGAAAATTAACAGAATAACAGAGTTAGAAGGTATTTTAGTCCAAGAAACTTTATACCATTTCAGACAAATGGTTGTCCAATCTCTTCTTAAAACCTCCAGTGTTGGAGCATCCACAACTTCTGGAAGGAAGTTGTTCCAAAGATTAATTGTTCTATCAAGAAATTTATCCTTAGTTCTAGGTTAGTTCTCTCCTTGATTAGATTAGATTACATGTTTATGCTGAATTAATTTGGGGGTGTTTGTGTTTTGATTGATTTATTTATCTATCAAACTTATATAGTCATCCATCTCACAGAACAAATGAAATAGCTTGTATGAATGTTTTTTATTATTATTTACATTTTTGTAAATAAGTGTGCTAATGCTTACTAATTTAATAATTTTCAGCTGCTGTTCACCAACATGTGTGCTTTTGGATGCTTCTTCCATCTGTTATTCATATTTTGGCACAGAGAGGTTGGAAAGCTATATTGCAACAGTTAGAGAAAGATAGCCACAAAAGTACAGATGTTTTTCCAATGTGCATGTTGTTTCAGGAAATGAGATGTAAATTAAGGTCAGATTCAAATGCAAACTGAATGAACTTCTGTCCCCTTCTCATCTTTATTTATGGGTCCTAATTAAGTATCTCTACAGGTGCCAATTTGGGCAGAGACAATAGTTAATAAATGCCAGAGGTAATTGAGTAAAGGGATGAATGCAGCGATAAAAAATGGCACCTGTAATAAGCTGACAGAGGCAACCAATTCACCTTAGCTCATAAAAAGGCCAGCTGCGTTTCCAAACCACATTGGAACAATTTGCAGCAAAGTTAACCTGTCACTGGGGCAAATGATTCAGACAGCTTGGGCAAGTGAGAACAAGTTCCGGTAATAAATGGGGAGATTTGTGAGGTTCGACTTTCAATATGGCATATTTTGAGGGGCCTCTTCCTCCTTCTTTTGCAGTCACCTGTTGTATCATCAGGAAGTTATTCAATCTGAACAGTGGATTTGGTCCTAGTCACTCGCTAAGAGAGATAAAGGCGGGGTGTTAAGAAGCACTTCCTGATTAACCCAAGATTGGCTAATCTGAGGCAGGATCCCAAATAAAAAGCTAGAATGAGACTGGGAAGCAAATCATTGAATTCCCACATCTTGGGGGTAAGAACTGCCGATACTGCCTTGCTGTCTCTCTGATTTCACAGCCTGTTTTCCAGGAACAACATGAAGAAGATCCCTGCTGGAGGCAGAGGAAACCTGTTACCAGGAGATCTCAACGTTGACAGCTGTTAATTCAATCATTTTGTTTCAGTAAATGAACAGGGGTATTTGCAGCCTTGATTTATCAAACTCGACCGGTGTGGGACAGATGTAAATTGCCAACTCTAGCCAAGGAGTTGGTTTCTGGTGCATAAGAGTTGAGCAGTCTTCTGAGGTTGATGTCTGCCAATTAGTTGAGGGGAGGAACAGATGAATACAGGGGGATTATTTATTTTATTTATTTATTTATTTGATTTGTCGATCGCTTACAAGAGAATAGGTATAAGTATAAACATGAGTATGAATACAGGAAATAGGTATGAATACATGGGGACAATAGGACAGGGACGGTAGGCACGATGGTGCACTTATGCACACCTCTTACAGACCTTTTAGGAATGGGGTGAGGTCAATAGTGGATAGTTTTAAGGTTAAAGGAGTGGAGGGTTAGAGGACGTAACAAGAGAGTCAGGTAGTGCATTCCAGGCATTGACCACTCTGTTGCTGAAGTCGTACTTTCTGCAATTAAGTTTGGAGTGGTTTACATTGAGTTTGTATCTGTTGTGTGCTCTTGTATTGTTGTGGTTGAAGCTGAAGTAGTCATTGACTGGTAGGGCATTGTAGCAGATAATTTTGTGTGCTACGCTTAAGTCCAACTGTAGGCGGCGTAATTCAAGGTTGTCCAAGTCTAAAATTTCAAGCCTGGTGATGTAGGGTATTCTGTTGCGAGCAGAGGAGTGTAGTATTTTTTTTCATGAACTACTTCTGGACTCGCTCAATTGTATTAATGTCCAATATACAGTGCGGATTCCAGACAGATGAGCTGTATTCGAGTATTGGTCTAGCAAAGGTTTTGTATGTCCTAGTTAGCAAGTAAATACATATACTGAAAAATGTGAGGAGATGCAAAAGATGTCTCGATGTTGATGACAATGTATAAAGTTTTATTGTATGTTTTTAAAATTTTAAAACTTAATAAAATTTATTATTAAAAAAAGATTAGATTTACAACTCTTAATGCCTTTTATGCAACAGAGCTTGGATTTTCTGTTTCCATCCTAGATTTGGGGGACTCTTTGTTTTTGCTAAGCAATGCTGCTATAATACTGTATTTAATGGTTATGCAATTAGGTTAGACTGGGCTGGGCTAGGTTAGATTAGATATTTCTATTTTTTTAATCTAAAACCCTGGAATGAAATGCAACAATACTTAGTCTTCACCCATCTTCCAGTACTTGGGAGATTTCTCCTTCTCTGTGGAGTTCTTTGTCATTTTTTGTGGCTCTTGTATACCTGTATTGCATCACAGCCTTAATACTGTACCTTGGTTACATGCACTTGTATTGAGGTGCTGGAAAACATCCTGTGATTGTAAGTCAGCATGATCTGGCTTTTTAACTTGCTTTTCTGTAATTTGTAACATCAGGTGAAGTGAGTACCATTTATCTGTAAGGTTTATTTATTGAGTGTATATATTTATTTTTTATTTATATCCCATCTCTTTATTTTTATAAGCAATTCAAGGCAGCGAACATACTCCTTGCATCCTCCTCCTATTTTCCACATAACAACAGCAACAACCCCGTGAGGTGAGTTGGGCTGAGAGAGAAGGACTTGCCCCAAGTCACCCAACCAGTTTTCATGGATAAAGTGAGATTAGAACTCACAGTCTCCTGATTTCTAGCTGGGCGCCTTCAGTATTAGAGCAAACTGAGTCTACTTGTTCGGCACCTCAAAATGGCTAGAACCCCACATGGTAGCTTTGGATAAATAATGGGTGAGGGGCAGGGATGGGATTCAAAATTTTTAACAACCGGTTCTGTGGGCATGACTGTGTTGGTGGACGCATGGCTTGGTGGTCATGTGACTGGTTGGACATGGCTTGGTGGTCATGTTATTGGCTGGGTGTGGCCAACTCAATATCACTCACATCAAGGCACGCATCTCCTCGCCTGGCCTCTCGTGACTGTGGGGATGCTGCAACAGTCGTAAGTGTGAAAAATGATCATAAGTTATTTTTTTTAGTGCCGTTGTAACTTTGAACGGTCACTCCACACAAACAAAGTACCAGCAAAGGAGGGGAAAAAAACTCCAGAGACGTTCCTGAGACAGGAAGTCTCGGCCTGCCAAGAATGTAATAAGGGTTAACGGAGAGGCAGTTTCTGTAAGCAACACCAGAATGTTTCCTTCCTGCCTTCCTTACAGGATTAGGCCAGTAATTTCTTCTAACAACCGGTTCTCCGAACTGCTTAGAATGTTAACAACCGGTTCTAGCAAATAGGTGCGAACTGGTAGAATCCCATCCCTGGTGAGGGGGTTCTGAAGATTGCAACATGAAGGAGCTGAAGGGGCTGACTCCAGCCTTCCAACCTCAGGTTGCCTACTTTTTGAAAAACCATTTAGAAATTTACGATTCTTTACTTTTCCTGTAATATCAAAGGTTCTATGTGTCTGTTTTCTGTGAGATTCATGCCGACCATTAGGCTGAATGGTTTGGTAAATCAAGATGGCGGAATGTCATCC